TTACCCTTGGACAACACAGTTTTGAGCTGTGGATTGTTTTGAAATAAATAGGCATTCAGTCCATGGTATCCCAAGGTTTTGCATCCACAGATTCAACTAGCCACCAATCAAGAACAGCATTTTTCATCTGAGGTTAAGAATCCGAGGATGCTGAGGGCTGACTATATGCATTGTTCTGTGGCATTTTATATAGGGGACTTGAGCATCCTCAGATTTTGATATCTGCGGGGGTGCCGGAATCACTCCCCCATGGATACTGGGGACAACTTAAGTTTTGGGTGAGTTGAAAGTTATACCTGGATTGTTCAAAGGTCAACTGTATTACTAGTCCCACTTTTCTGCCCAACAAGAGCTTTTTATGGGAAATTTACCCACTGTCTCCTAATAATACTTTAAAACTTAGCAAGTACTTCTTGTTCACTTGTGAGATGAGAACAAAAGCTAGCAGTTGCCACAAAATGGATAAAGAACTACATGAAGGAATTTGACTTGTGTATGGGGTGCCTGCTTGTCCCTGGAATTTGAGCTGTTTCTGTTTAGTTACAAGTGAAAACTTCCTGGCAGTTTGGAAACCTGAACTGCCTTATTACTGATGCCTCACTGGTAATGGCAGAGAAACTTATTCCAAAAGATCATGGAGAGATGAGAAACCTAGACCCCTTCTCCGGAGGGGCAGTCTGAACTGCAGACAGAGCCCATGGGCATCTGTATCCATTGCATGGTCTGGGAAGGCGTCCTGGAAAGTCAGAAGTGGCCCCTAAGAGGAGCTTATTTTGACATCTCCCTGGAAGGCCACGTTTTATTCTTAGAGAATCACAGGTTCAAAAAAATATTAAGGCAATCTTTAATTTCAAAATTATCATGCACGAAAAGAGTTTCTTATTTTTAGAGTAAGGTTTCAATATATAGTTGCCAAAAGAAAAGTAATTTGTTCCTTTTCATTTTGAAATGAATTGCTCAGCAAGCCAAACATGTGTCTTGTTTTGTTCCAGAAAATTCAGGAGTTTTCCCAAATAAATTATCGACTGTGAGATAAATTATGTGAGATAAGAAGATGCCTTTCCTTTATGCGCCCTCTTTTTAAATATGTTGCCACAAGTTTCACAATGTACAATTCAAATCCTGGGTGATCTGAAATGTATCACTAAGAGAAATCATGATGGAAAGTCAGAGAGTAACCTTTTATTTTTCATAATAACCCAAATGTAATAAAAGCCACATGTAAAATAAGCCTGCAAGAAGAGATTATCTACAGCAGCATATGTTCAGTGTTAGAATTTAGAAATCAATTGCAAAACGCAGTGGGAGTATGTCATTATAAGAAATGACAGTTCAAAAAAGAAAAGAAAAGAAAAGAAAGAAATGACAGCTCAGCATATTGCTATGTTGAAATAATCCCTTCTACTGTCCTACTTGGCCATGGAACATGGCGTTTGTCTGATATGGAAAAAAAGAGAAGGCCCAGCATCACATTTGGTTACTCTGAATGGATGCAGCATAAGTATTTATCATCATAAGCAGATCTGGACACTAGCATTTATTAGGTAGATTTTATAGCCTCAAGTTTATCTAAAGTTATAGCTTCAGACTATGACCTTATGGTTAGTTGTTTCCATGTGGAAGGTAACTGATAGAATGGAGTCCCTATAGCCAATAAAAAAATTCTGTCCATTCATTTAACATATATTTAATAATATATTAAATATATATTGGCTGTGCACCGGACATTGATCTGGACACTGGAGGTTTAAGATAACTAAAACATAGCTCCTATTTTGGAGGATATTACATTCCATCAAAGGGGATCAATTTGTAGCTGAATAATTAGTAGATAGATTATATAGCATAAGAGAGGTGTGTCCAAAGTGCTGCAGGAACCTAGAGGAAAGAGGGACCAACTTTGTTTTTCACAAGTTCAGCAAAGCTTTGCAGAAGTAGTGAAGACTTAGGAAGCTTCTGAAATATAAACAAGATTCCAGGGGCTAGGGAAGGAACCAGAGGCATTGCTGGCTGGGTCAATCCTGTGTGGGGCATCCAGAACCCACAAACAGGCACCTAGAATGCTTAGGGCACCCAGCTTCATAGTATCGGGGAACGTGAGGGAGGCAGCAGAAGTCAGGCCAGAAGCGATAAGTAGGGCTCAATTTGGTGATGAGCCTGCGTGCCATCCCTAAGTCTGGAACCTCTAACCTGCTCATGCTTTGGCCCCATTCTAATTGGCAATGTCAGGGGCAAGATTAAAAATATTTCACAAGCAGTGTGGCACAGGTCATATAGGTTAGAAGGAGGGGAGATCCAAGACCCTCCCCTATGCTAGACCTTTCATTTGTTGGAGCATGATGTCCGCCAGTTTCCCAGGGATAAAGCCAGAGTTTCATGAAGGGGGCAGTACAACAGCCATGTACCAACCAGCTTGGAAGTATTTGTACTATTTTAACAGAATCAGTGCAGCCGAATGTCTGCGCTGCCATCAGCCAGTCCCCAAAGTGAGCTAGGCCGTTGTGCTTTAATTTCTCGTCTCTGCTGCACCCCCTGGAAAAAGATGATTTTGCCCCTTAAAGATGTCTTGAGTTAATTACTCTCTCCTGTCCCCACTGCAGAGTAAACTCTCAAAAAACAAAACCAGTAATTTCCCTTGCCCTGATTCAAAATCTTACAGGATCAAGCCCAAGGTCCTCCCCTAGGCCTGCCTGACATTTGTGATCCAGTTCCAGTTGTCGTTTTAGTTTCAAAACCCACCATCCCCACCCCCCACCCCCAGCACATACTCTTCAATGCAGTTTGCCCAATGCCACCAATGCAGTGCGCTTGAGTGATGGGGTGGATTAAATGTTTGCTCTGGCAGACTTCAGGTAACATGGCTTACCTGTGGCTGGCTGGGAAGGCCCCGCAGGCTAGCACAGCTCTTTGCATATCATCGGTGCTTCTGAACATTGATAGACGGATCAGCCTGGTGGACCTTCTTAGACATGAGACTGGGTTTCTTGTTTGTTTATTTGTTTCGGCAACAACTTTGTAGTAACTCTGAGTCAATGAGTCAGAGGCATGAACAGTGTTAGACACTTCAGATGATGATGATAGTCATTAATTGGAGGGTCGTTGGATAACTAAATGACAGACAGATTTCATGTTTGTTAAAGGTAGAATTTGTTATTGGGAATTTTGCATCCACATCTTATAATGTAGTGTTAGTAAATTATCCTAATACGGGCATTATTCTCATGTACCACTTATAAATTATAAATGAGGTGTTAAATATGAATGAAGTCACTCAGGAGACATTAGTAGAGCACCACGCAGTGTGCTCGGCACAGAGTTAACAAAATAGAAATGGCCTCACCCTCATGAAGCCTATGGCCTCATGAGGGAACCAGATAATACATAACCTTCCACCATCTCTGCCATTGTCATCTCTTACCTAGCACAGACTACACATGTTCCCTCTGCCTGTGTGCAGGTTCTAAAACCCTCTCTACATGGCAGCCAGAGAGAGCATTGAAAAATCTGAATCAGGGCTCGTGGCAATCTGATCATGACTTAAGTCTGTTCATGACCTCATACTACAATTAGGATAAAATCCTAATTTCTTCCCATGGTCTCCCAGGTCAAGTTTGATTGATCCTGCTTCCCCTCCAGTCATGAATCAGGCCACCCTGCCCCACTCTGCCGGATCCCACCCCCCCGCCAAGCTATCACCACTGAGCACAGCCTTTGGTTCCTAGAACACCCAAACCCCTTCCCTTTTCAAGAACTTGGTGCTGTTCTTTGTTCTCCCCATGGCTGACCACTTCTCATTCTTTGGATCTACCTAAAATTGGTCCCTTCCACCCCCACCACTATTTTTCTTTATCAAGGAGCCCTTCCTAGCACTTAACACAATTTGTAATTTTCTCTAAATTTGTTGGAGAGAGAAGTTGTCTGAAATTAAAGCTTTCCTGTGCAGTTTCAAGCAGACAGAAGGGGAATGGATCTTGAGATTTGCAATGCCGGCACCCTTTCTTCTGATTCCAAAGGGATGCCTAATTAAATTACTGAAGTCAAATGCCCAAGTCACTTGCAATCAGCAAAGGCATTCTTCCTACCAGTTTTGGTCAGACTGAATATGTCTGCAAAATAGGTTGCTTTTCATTGTGAAGCAAACATTTTGAAAATTAGGATGCGTTAACAAGCGTGTAGGTGGGTTACCCATAGAGAGTTCAGCCTGAATATGCTCAATCATTCAGAACAGGCATCTCTTTACAGATGTGCTAAGGTGAAGAGCAAGCAAAAATACTGCTAAAAAATGAAATTCTGGAAGAGGTGGAAATTTTGGAGTCTTACATGAACAACTCTGGTCTAAGAATAAGTTATAGTTAGAAACCTACAGTGTATGGAAAAGACAGGCCTGTGAGTCCTCAGGATACATGGTTAGAGCAGATGTGACTCGGGTAACCAGAGACTGAGGGGGACGGAAAGAGCTGTGAGGGAGGACAGAGGAGAGGGTGGTGGAGGAGAGGGAGAGAGAGAGGAGAGAGATGGAAAGATGGGACAGAGCAATAGAACCAAGCAGTACCAGGTCCTCCAATGAAAGACTAGAAGACATGGCATCCTTCCTTACCTGATCCTTGGTGGTGCTGGAGAGAGGAGGGGGTATCCTGTGGACACTTCATTGTGTGGTTTTAATGACAAGGTGATGGAGCGCCATCTGATCTCATCAGACAGACCATCTTCATCTAACACAGTTATGATTTCCTTCCCTGTGATTCCCATTATTCAAAAGCCCCTGATTTCCTGTTCCAGTTGTCCTAGCAATAATTTACTGCAATTGTATTTCTGGCCAACAGAAACAGTTTTATTGTGGGGGAGAGGGGTTGGTTTCTCCAGTGGTATACATATACACATAGCGGCGTAGGAGTGAAGGAGTCAATATCCTCCTTATAAATTCTAAAACCTTTGCAGGGAAAACTGTAACCAGTCCTTTGTACTAGAGATTGTTCACTGATTTTGCTGTTTGCCTGCAGTCTGTCATGAGTCCTGCGCGGCCTGCTGGGGTTCCACCGAGAAGCACTGCCTGGCCTGCAGAGACCCCCTCCTAGTGCTGAGAGAGGGCGGCTGTGAGAGCAGCTGTGGCAACGGCTTTTACAACAAGCAGGGGACCTGCAGTGGTAGGTGCCAGACCTTGCATGCCAACGCATCTTTTTCTCTTCCTGCACCCCTTGTTCAATTCAAATCATAGCACCAATAACCAATGTTTCTTTTACTCAATAAATAGGTGATGGCTGCTTACATTGTTGATGTTTTAGTAGTTTACAAAACATTTTTTTTTCACCTGGGGGGATCCCCTTTAGTACAAGCCCCCAACACACACACACACACACACACACACACACATGCACGCACACACACACACGCATGTTGTTAGATCAGGGTGGGTGCTCATTCTAGCCTACAGATGAAGATGGTGAGGACAGGGCTGCTTGCTCCAGACTCACAGCTGTAGGGACGGGAGCAGGGCTTCCTTCCTCCAAATCCCAAACTCTCTGTTGACTGCAGACTGCCTTCCAAATCTGCATGGTGACAAAGACACTTTCGACCAGCCAGGAGCAGCTTTTGGTGTTGTTTCCACCAACTTAAAGCTGAAACGGTTCTTGTCCGTTCTACCTTTAACAATTGCTGCATAACAAGAAGAGTTAACCCAGTTTCATGCTTACTTATGGCAGGCACTATTCCAAGTGCTTTCCAACCATTCGCCCATTTAGAGGCAGGAAAGTATGCTGGGGAAAGTATGACCTTGGGCAAGTTACTTAATCTATCTATGGTCATATTCCCATTTGTAAGATGGGGCTATAGTAGTACCTGCGGTAAACAGAATAATGGCCTCTCAAAAATGTCTGTGTTCTAATTGCCAAAACCTGTGCATATGCTGCCTGAGATGGCAGAAGGGGTTTTGGAGGTATGATTAAATTAAGGATTTTGAGATGGGAGATTATCCTGCATTACCCAGCTGGGCCCAGTGTCATCACAAGGGTCCTTATATTAGGGAGGCATGAGACGGGGAGGCAGAAAAGATCTGAGATGCAGGCAGAGGTCAGAGTGATGGTCAGAGGGATGCCAGAATGGGCCCACAAGCTTGCAGGAAGTCTCTAGAAAAAGGACAAGGAAATCAATCTCCCTAGAGCTTCCAGAAGGAATATAGCTCTGCTGACACTTTGATGAGAGGACTTCTGATATCTAGAGCTGTAAGATAATAACTTTGTGTTGTTTTCAACCATTGAATTTGTGGTAATTTATTACAATAGCAGTGGGAAACTAATACACACCCAACTCAGAAGGCTGGTGAGAGGATTGAGTTATAACATATAGGCCAGGCACTTGGCACAGTGCCCAGCACAGAGTAAGTGCTATGTAAATTTTTAGTGTTTAATCCTCACAACAATTTTATGGGATAGTTATTATCATCCTCCTCATTTTCCTGATGAAACACAGAGGTTAAAACTTGCCTAATAGTTTCACATAGTTAATAAGGGGCAGAGTTAGGCAGAAGCCTGGGTCTTCTGGCTATAGAGCTTAACCGCTCTACTCCTCACTGTAGTGTGATAGCCCCTGATGCACATCTGCTTGTTTTCCCCCTCTCTTCTTTTTCTAGTTTCTTCTCCCCTCTTCCTCTTCTCCTCCTTCCTCCTGCCCTCTTATCAGTCTTTTAGATTATTCAGCTGCCCCTGTGGACGTTGCAAAGTTGACAGGCAGCCACCTGACAGTGAATGATTGAGTTTGCTATGATGGTCGTCCCTATACAAAGACCATGATGACTTTTTAAAAAGCTATCCAAGTTCACTAAATTAATAAAAATGTGCAGTCCATAAAACTTTTTTGAGTGATTGTCCTCTTTTTATTTACTGAACAGGGCAATAGCAGAAATTATCATTGAGAGTTGAGAGTGTACTTGCCTTAGGGAAGAGAGAGAGCTCTTGGCAGCTGCTTGCTGAAAGCTGTGCAGAAATCCATCAGCATTGCTCGTGTGGACAATCTCGCTTGATATGGACAAGTCACAGGTGGCTATTGTGTGGGTTCAGGAGAGAACAAGGAAGAAAAGACAAGGCTGCCATTAGCCTGAGCATTTTCATTTTTTTCTGCTAGCATCACTTCCCTGCTCAATTAAGCCAAATGTATTCTGTAAAGGTCAGTGGATGTTCAATTTGCACGAATCCAAAGGTCTAAAGATATTTACCCATTAAGTCCCCAAGGAGGCTGTCTACTGTCACTGACAAGGAGTGGTGACACTGACCTGCTATTGAGAAGGTATTATCTGGATTGGGAAAGCAATTTTTGCTAGGGAAGCATGTATTTAAAAGGAGGGATGGTTAGTGTGAGCCTGGAGGCAGTGAGAGGTGGAATGTGCTTGAGCCCAGAGGTTGAGTGAAGAAAGCCAGAGCTCCTTGTGGACTGCAAGAATTTAAAAAAAAAGAAGACTGCTTAACAGGTGGCTTAGGGAGAGAGTATACACGTCTAAACACTATCTGTATACATTTTGAAACAAAGCATCAGAAAGGAAACTTCCAAACAGAAGGATGGACCACTGCCGACAATCAGCCAACCAATCAATTGATCAACAGGTAATTACTGAGTGCCTGCCTTGTATTTAGCACAGTGAGAGACTCTGTGATGCCACTGGCATTGACCAGGGGGCCTTTTGTTAGACAAGACTGATGTTTACACGTTCCATAAAATTGTTAGCATTCTCTAAGTTCGTATCAAATGCCTTTAGAAATGTTCAAATAACATTTTCCAAAAGGATGGTGAACCAAGTCACTGATTGGTATCAGAGTGTTAATTAAGACGTCTGGTGCTGATAATACCGACTCATTTCCAATTCAGATTAGTGCCATTCAAGATAAAGCCTGGCTGGTGTTGGTTTAATTATTTATAACCAAGCAGCCCATATCTGTGGAAATCTCAAAGTCAAATGCTGAGAAAAATCCAGCATAACCTGTTATAAACGGCGGTATGCCCTGGTTGAAAGAATTTATAGTAACCAAGTCTGTCTGTGGTACATGCTTTGAGTTTTACAAATATTAGATATAAAGGGTGGGGAAACTCAAAGGACAAAGCCTCCTCATTCTTCAGTCCTTTAAGTACATGTACTGTTAAGAAGGCTTTCCTGACTTTAGCTAACAGAAATCAAAGTGAGTTCAGAGGTTTCTATTAGCCATTCTCTCTGTCTTTCTTCCTCTTTTCCTCTCTCCTTTTTTCTCTCCTTACTTCCTTTTACCCTCATTTCCCTCCCTTGCCTAGAAAACTGATTTTTATCTTTTTTGTTTTTATGGGCTCATATAAACTGGGTATTGTTATTTTGAATACAATTGACCCTTGAACAACACAGGTCTGAACTGTGCAGGTCCACTTATACGTTTTTGTTTTATTTTCAATAAATATCTGCACTGTTTTCGTTCAGCAGTTGGGAGTCTGAGGATGCATTGATCTACGCCAGTGTATACAGAGAAATTAAACACCTTCAGGTTTTGGTATCTGTGGGGCGTCCTGGAACCAATCCCTCGTGGATACCGAGGGTAGTTAAGTTTGGGGGTGTTGAAAGTTGTATGCAGACTTTTGACTACACAGGGGGGTGAGTCCCCAACAAGAGTCAACTGTGTGTGTGTTTGCGCGCGCGCGCGTGCGTGTGTGTGTGTGTGTATGTGTGTGTGTAATTTCATTAAATAATGCTGTGTTACACAGGTCATGTTGTCTTTTTTTCTCTCAGTGTTATGTATTTAAGATTCACCCATACTGCTTATCACCTAGCCCTTTGATTCTCACTGCTGCACAGTCCACCCACCATAGCTCACACATCCATACCCCAGTGACGGTGGTATGCCCTGGTTAGCAGAACTTATCCTGGTTCCTTCCATTCACAGACTATCACTAGAGTAACAATGAATAGCCTCGAACATATCCCTATATGAACTCATGTGAGAGGTTCCCTGGGATGGATACTCCAGGCAGAAGTGTTGGTATCTTGAGTCTGAACATTCTCTATTTGACTAAGTAGTGCTAGGTAGCGCACCAAAAATCTATAGCCCAGAGCATGAGGGCTCTCTCATTTCTGCGTCCTTGCCACCATTTGGCATCATCAAGCATTAGGTTTTTTTCTGGTCCATAGGTATACCTGGATATCCCACTTAATTTGCATTCTTCTGATTATTAATGAGTTTGAGAATGTCTTCAACTCCTGTTGGACACTTGTGTTTCCTCTTCTGTAAATTGCTTTTTAATGTGTTTTCCCCATTGTTTTGTTGGCCTTGCTGCCTTTTGATTGTCGATTTTATGGAGTTCCTTGTATGTTATAGATTTTAACTCTCGTCAGTCTTACATATGCAAATATTTCCCCATTTTCTTACCTTTTAACTTCTATTATGGTGCTCTTTGTTAAAAAGAAATCTGTTTTTTGTTTTGTTGTTTTTAAGATTTTATTGGGGAGTTGGGAGAGGGGAACAGCTTTGAAGAATCGGGGAAGGGGAACAGACAAGTTGCTGTCCTTTTGTTCTTCAGTCTAGTTGTGGAGGACATTGCTTCACTGGTCCATGTTGGTATTATCATTGCGCTCTTCCCCGGTGAGGCAGTCGCTTGCCAGCCATTGGACGGCATCTCACGGAAGCTCACAAAAGCTCACGCCCGCTGCCAGCCAGCCCCACTGCAGCCTACGCCATCACTGGCAACTCACAGCAGCCCAGCTCCAGGCCAAGCTGTCGTTCATCATCTTACCTGTAGAGGGCGCAGCACCACTGGCCCCCATGTGGGATCTGAACCGGAGCCCTGCTGCTCAGAGTTGGTGTCCCAAGCCAACTTCTAAGCAACACGCCACTCGTCTGGCCCTGTTGAGCAGAAATCTTTAATTCATCATTTTTTATTTTCACATTTCACTTTTGGATTTTTAAAAATTCTGCTCTTTTTGAATTTTACTTACCCTTTTGTTCTGCTCAAGTTCACAAGGAATTACCTTACATTTTCTTATATTAATCTGACAGTTTTATTTTAACTTAGGTTATTAATCCATCTAGAGTCCAGTTATGGCTATGGGTTTAAGTGGGGATCCAGTTTGATCTTTCTCCCTTTCATGATCCAATTTTTCCAACATCATTTAGCAATTCAATCTAATCTTCTCTGATGATCTTTATTGAATATTAAGTTTTCTATTCACATAAGTCTGTCTCTGAAATATTCCAGTAGTCTGTATTTCTATTCTTATACACTATCACATTATTTTGTTTTGTGTCTTCATTAATTTTTTTCACTTTGTGGTACATCTCAATGTCTGATTGGGCAAATTCTCCCTTTCATCTTCATTTTCAAAATTGACAGCTATTCATGGACTTTAAAATGTTTATTAAATTCCTAATAAAATTCAACTAAAATTTTTATTAATATTTTATTGAAGTTATAGGTTAGTTTTGGGAGAAATGACATCTTCCTAATAATTTTGTTTAAATTTACAAATTATACTCTTAAGGATTACTTTAGGTGGGTCTTAAAATGTTTGAGTTATAATGTTTGTATTGTTAATCAATTTTTTTTTAATTTCTGCTATTCTTTATTTCTGGAAAAATCCACTTACCTTGCAGATTATTTAGTTCTCCTGCGATGCAGTTTTAGAACTAGAAAGTTTAGAAAGTTTTCTGGAGGGTGGGAAGAAAGACACTTTTTAGATTTATTTTTGCTTCTTTGTTCTAGTTATGAATTGAGGGGGTCATTTTTCTTTTTCTCCAATATGCAGGCCATTGCTTTTGTCCATTTACTGAAGATTATCTTGCCTTACGTGTTTGCTTCTAGAGAGATGCTGAATCCTCCAGGATTCAGAACAGAACCTTTGACCCCATCACTTGCATCTTTTTTCTTAAGTTGTTGAAATATTTTTCAGGAGGTGTAGGTGGGTTAAGAGAACAGACAGAATAAATCTCAGCATTGATACTCTGATAGTGAGAAGGTTTGTTTTGGTTGTTTTTAAAGAATGTAACCAGTGAGTATAAAGTAGATGGAGTCACAGACTTACCTGCAGCTGCATTCACCCTCCCCTCCCCTCCTGCACACTCAGAAAAGGAGGCTGTTCTCCAGTGTGTTCAAGGCTAATCGCTCCTGTCCTTTTGAATGTACATCCTCTTTTTATGCTAGGTATTCTTTCAGTGCTCTCCTCTTTTTAAAAACCTTTCCTAGGTTCTATACTTGCCTTGATTGAGCTTTTACAATATTAGAGGGACAACAATAATTACCCTTTTAATTATTTTCTTCTTTCTCCCTTTCCATTTGCAGCCAGGAGCCTTTAAAGCAACAGTTAATAATCATGGCCTTCACTTTCATTCTGTCCAATGACTCCACTGAAACGGTTATGGTATTGTTTACCCACATCTCAATTTCTAAGTGTAGTGTGCTATTCAGACTATATTTGTCCTTGCGCCGTTAATGGCTTCCTTCTTGAAACTTTTTCCTCTGTCAGCTTCTCAGCCACCACACTCCTGTTTTCTGTCCTTCCTGTATATCATTTCTTCTTGGTCACCTTTGCTAGTTTTTTTTCCCCCATTAAATGTTGGTGCTGTCCAGGTCCTTCACTGCTTCTGTCTTATCTTTCATGCTTTTCTGAATAAATCAACTCATTTCTGATTTCAACAACCACATATATGTGATAACCTCCAGGCCTCTTCCCTGAGCTCCAGAACTATAAATCAGGCTATTTACTGGGCTACATCTGTCCAAAATGGTTCATCATAACCCCCCACCCCCCCCCACACACCTACTCTTTCCTTCTTGCACTCTGTGTGTGGCATCACTCATCCCCTAAGCCAGACCCCTGGAAGCCATCAGAGACAATTTCTCCTACATAGCTTTCAATGCTATCATTTCCTCCACAGTCTTGATTCAACCCATGGTCATCTTATTTTATGAGCATTACCCTGATCCTCCAACTAGGCCCCAAATTCTCCTTCCTCACCCCTCCAAACTACCCTCCAAATTGAAGCCAAAGTGATCTTTCTTATACCCAAACATGGCTGTTTCTACTGTGATTAAAACTTGGCAGGGGTTCCCAGTGCCTTCTTTTCACAGGATGAGAAACTAGACTGTAGAGACCAGCATACAGGTTTATATAATCAGGCCCTGTCCACTTTTGCAGCTGAATGGAGCTGCGCTTTCCCTGCAGCCCCGGCTTTCACCAGGGTCGGGCCTTTCCTTGCCTCACTGCTTCAGCCAGGAGTGCATTCCCGTCAGCCAGCCGTGCTCTGACTCACTTCCCAGGACAATGCTCAAGGGTCACTTCTTATATGAACCCTTTCTTGACCTTTCCTACCTCCTGCCCTAGGCACATTTTTTTTTTAATTTTCATTGTACCTATACAAACTAATCTGAGTGATAGCTGTAACATTTCTAATATTACATGTGTCTGTCTCCCTCTATTAAACGCATAAGCCCCTTAAAGCAAAGATCAACTTGATTTGATTTTTGTATCTCAACCCCCTGACACAGTACCTGGTACAGGGCTTAAGAAGTGTTTTGGGGCTAAATGAGTGAATAAGTGAATGAGTAGATCCTGGAAGATTGTGTGAAGTTCAACAATTTCAACATAGTTTTTGTAGCGTGACCTTGCTTAGTAGACCTCTGAGCTTCTGAGTTCTCTCTCCAACTAAGGTTGCCAGATAAAGGATGAAATATTTCAGACAGACCCTAAAGTAAATAATTACTCATTATTTATCTGAAATTCAAATTAACTGGGCATGTGGCATTTTTATTTGCTAAATCTGGCATCTCTACCTTTAAGGCCATTTAAACTTTAAATCCCATATTAAATTGGATATCTCGGGGGGGGGGTGCCTCACAGTCAGGGTATTTGTTATGCTTGGTGCAATGAATAATTCTTTGGTTCTTCAACTATGAAAACAGAAAGTGCAGAGTCTTTTGAAATGTTGGACTCAAGGAGACAGAACTCATCTGAGCAGACAGAGAATGAGATCATGATGCCGATACCCACTGTGGATGTTGTAAAGCATAGACTTCTTTGCTCTCCTGGCTCACTATTGACTTTCTCTGATGGGTGTTCCTCTCTCTTAGCTTGTGACCAATCCTGTAAGAGTTGTGGCCCCAATAGTCCCAGATGTCTTACCTGTACTGAGAAGACAGTGTTGCATGACGGCAAGTGCATTTCTGAATGCCCTGGTGGGTACTACGCTGATGCCACCGGCAGATGCAAAGGTAAGACACAGGTCATCATCGTCGTTTTCATCATCATCTTCATCATCAGCTCTACATGGTGCTGCTGTATGATGCTCACTTGGAAATTTGTGTGTATAATGGGAAAATAGCAAATTAAAAGGAATAGCTTTTTCATTATAGCACCTATGTGTATTTGGTATGCAAGTCGGAGCTATGGGTGGATGTTGGGGGACTAGAGTGATTACATAGAGGACTGAGGCATATCAATCATCATTAGAGATCATTAGATCCTTTTGAAATGCCAGGAACATCTTTAAGATCTTCATACGGTCCTTGGGGACTTATAAGCTATCACCACCTTAGGTTGTAGATATGACAGAATCGTTCCTTAAATGGCATTTATATGCACATATAATGGCAACTACAACACACCACAAAAATAAAAAAGTAAACCAAGTTTGATAGCACGTAAAACTGAAGTCTGTAGTGAAAATTTGACTCTATGTGCTGTTTACATATTGTTTCTTTCAGACCTACACAACCTAAACTATGAAACATTCCCATTTGAGACTTTATAAATTTAAACTTATATCTGCTTGACTTGTATCTTTCCTTATGGGCAACTCTGGGAACTTGTCCTTGCCTAGGACACCTCGATAGTCCTCACATTCTCACACTCTCACTTCTACCTACTATCTGTTAGGGGCAGGATATTTAGACCTGTTCCTCAGTCTCTTCCTGTCAGCCTCCCCTTTGTCTGCCATCCGCTTTACTCACCCAGTGTTCATCCCTTTTCCTCAGCATCCCGCCCCTAAGGGTCTCATCGATTTCCACATTCCCCTCTCCCAGCTCCTAATTAGTGTCCTCTATAATCTTTCTTCCAGTGTTTCACTCCTGTCCTTTAGGACAGGCCATGGTACCATCTATCTCTTAGAGTCAGAGATGACCCACTGTTAGCATTCAGGACCAAAGCAGGGGATATGTGTGTCTGACATTGTCATATGCAGTGGTCAGATTCTTAAATGTAATTCTTACTTAGAATCCCAGAATGTCCAAGTTGGAAGCACCTTAAATGATCATTTAGTCCAACCTATTACTGTGCATTTGCCAAGGAAACTAGGCCTGGAGAGACCCAGACTTGGTGCAGGGCACAAATAAATTAGTGGATAAGCTGGTCAAAATTCCAGTGCTCCCAACAGTCAGACCTATGAGCCCTCCACTCGTCTTTATTCAGGTAGGGACTTTTAGGTTCAGACAGACCTAGGGCTGAATCCCAGCCCTGCTACTAATTAGCTCTCTAATCTTGGGTACATTTTTTTATTGACTTCAGCTTCTTCCTCTGTACAATGAGGTTAATAATTCCTATCTCATAATGTCGCTATGAAGATTAAAAGTGGAAATGTATATAAAACATTTAACACAAACACTAAATAAAGAGTAACTGTGTCACCCCCATATACTTCAATTTAAAAAAAAAGAGAAAAAAAAGAGTAACCAATGAATAATCAATAGAACATGGATAAAAGATGGGTGAAAGGACAATGTGGGCAGTCCTGGCGATATAACCACTTCCCAACACATCCTTGCCCTTGGTTTGGTGAGAGCCGAAGGGAGATTAAGTGTGATAGGGGAGAGGGCTTTCTAGCACAATAGGAGCCCAGGCGAGAGGTGGGCTCTTTAGTCACCTTTGTCCCCTTGTGTTCCCCTCTCACTCTCTTCCTCAGTTTGTCATAAGTCGTGTGCCAGCTGCTCTGGACCCAGGGCCTCTCACTGTACAGCCTGCATCCACCCCCAGGCTCTGCGCCAAGGCCACTGTCTGCCCAACTGTGGAGAGGACTTCTATCCTGACCATGGGGTCTGCAAAGGTATCGTTGGTGTCGTTTTATTCTTAAGACACTTTCTCTTCACAAGGGTGTAGATTTAAGTTACTTTTCGGCATGGCTTTTCCTTTAGTATATCTTGTATGGCTATGCATACATCATATGCTTTTCTTTCATTACCAAACAATAATCTGAAAAATCACATTGGCGATTTGTGAAGACACCCAAAAGTTTATCATTTTTCTGGCCATCCTTGAGAGGAATGTCATTTCCTTTACCATACATTAAAACAAAACCACTCTTACTGCCTCTTTTTTTCTATTCTCCTAGAATTGCTAATGTTTTTCTTAGTTTTCATTTTGTTTTTCCCTGAAGAACCTCTTTTTGTTAATGATACTGCTGAGCAAACTGAGAGTCAGTGGCAATGCCTCTGGGCTGAATAAAATGGAAAATCTTGAATAGCTGTTTGCCAAAAAGGCTTTGGGCTCATTGGGAGGGCAGTATCATTTGAGCCTTATGAAACTAGAACATTGGGAGCAAACACTTTAATTAAGTGAAATTAACTTACATTTATTTATATGTAGGGTGCCTTAGAAAAGAGCTTGAGAATAGTTAGAAGAAAAGAATATTTAAAACAGGCAGCTGCAATAAATATTCTGAAAAGGAAAATACAGTGAGTCTTTTAAAGAACAGGAAAGTTAACTCTCAAAATGTGGGCATGAGATAATTCGAGTATTCTATTTGGTCCTGATTTTCACCAGTATCCAGGGAAAACAAGAAACTGTGGTGGATTGTGAAATTCTTATTGCCACTCAAAATAGGCCTCTTCCTTGATTAGAAGAGTAGCCTTTCCTCACATAAACTCTAAGAGGAATTTGTTACCTGGACTCTGATATAGTGGGTGATGGATGACATAATGGACAATAATGCAATGACCGTTTTTGCGAAAAATACAGTAATGGCATTTATATGAATGCTGCTTAAAAATATCCAAAAAAAACTGAGGACATAATGTTAAATCATCGTTCAGTGAATGTGTTTCTCTGGAGAACCAAGTCAATATTGTCTAGTTGACTGTTCCTTTTGTTGTTTTGTTTTTTTGTTTGTTTGCTTGTTTTTTCATGTTCTAGCCAGGTAGCCCTTATAGGACCTGAGAAATGTGACTAGTTAACATCACCTTCATTTTGCCCCTCATCAATATTATTGTCATCACCCATATTTTGTATAGAACACCAGAAAAATAATATTCTGAAAGGATGTATCTGGTGAACTTTTCTAAGTGGTTTTGATTTAATGAGGGGCTCCCCTTGGTTGCAACATATATCTGACCTTTGGATGGTTCTCTGTATTGTATTTCCCTCGGCAGCCTGTCATCCCTCTTGTCTGACTTGTGTGGGTCCGGGGCGCTCTCACTGTACCCAGTGTAAGAAGCCAGAAGAAGGACTGCAAGTTGAGCAGCTGTCTGGGGCAAACATCACTGCTGGCGAGTGTCTGTCCCAGTGTAGAGCCCAGTTCTACTTGGAGAACACTGGGCTGTGTGAAGGTGAGTAAGCATGATTTCAGGAAATGTTAAGTAGCTTCTGGGCTTACCTCTTGAGAGATCCTGTGAGGTGGGACCACAGACCGGAAGACCTTTGTTTTCACATAAGAGTAGTTCTAGGATGCTTGTGGGTGGAGCAGAAAACCAATGTGCAAAAGAGTGGCCCCACTGATGTCGTCCTTCCCTTTGTGAATAACAGATGATCTGAAAGAGCTCGTTTCTTTTACCTCACTGTCCCCAAAATCATGCTTTCAGGAGTTCTGAACAGGAATTCTTTCAGAGACCGGTATGAGTAGCTAAGAAAGACCCAGTACTCATTGTAGACTTCCATTTATTATTTTTTCTCATTTGCTACTCTGAATATGAATTGGTCCCTTCAGGGAAAAATCTGGACTTCTGTCAAAATTGAGCAGTGATTCCTGCCATTGCCTTGGCATAGCAGCTATAGAAAATTGATGCCATCCTGAGTAATTTGATTTAAAAACATGATCATCCGTGAGTGGTTTAGGAGATGAAGACAAGATATATGTGTATGTGTGTGTATGTGTATATATAGAATTTCTTGGGGGGTAAGGGATGCAGGCCCCTCTCTACTCTTAAAAGAAGCTGCCTTGCTGTTGGGTGAATTATTTGACTCTCAAGCTACCTGAAAAAAAAATCATTACTGATATTTCTCATTGTAAATATAACATATGTTCATTAAAGGAAATTTTGAATGTAGAAAAAGTAGAAAAATAATCTGCCTACCACCTACCACCTAAAGCCAATTAATTTCCTTTAGCATTTTGCTATAATATATCCGAGGGTTCTTTTCTATGCATAGCATTGAGTTTTTATTTTTACAACATGACTGTAAGCATGCTGTGGATTCAAGTTCACATCCTTCAGGCCCACGTATTAAAGTGGCTTCCATGTTACATTGGGATACACCCTCACATGGAAATGCTGGATTTCAAGGTTAGATTAAAATATTAGGGGTGCGATGAGTCCTGTGGCATAGTAGGAAGTGTGCAGAACTGGAATTCACATTCACTGCATTAGAATAGGGATGATTCTCTTCCACACGGGCTTTTTGCCAGGAATAAAGGAGGCTAGGGTTGTGAAAGTGCCTAGCCAATTGTAAAGCCCTCAGGTTCAATTGGTATAAATCTTAGTCCATATGCTCAAGTGCTTAGAAATATTATAGGTGTTCCTTCTTACTCCCTGGGCAGCACCAGGCCTCAGTTATAGACACATAATGCCTAACAATTGAGGAAGGGCCTCTACTCTCCAGAGATCCTGGCTCCTGCCCATGCATACATTGCCCAAATTCTCTGTGATCCCTTTAACTCCCCTAGCTCTGTTTTCATAACCACTTGTAAAATATGGGATCTTCCAAAGGCATGTGTCACACAGCCTGTCCCTCTGTTCCCAGGAGAAATCAAGAAGAAATCTTCCCAGGCTACTCAGCATAGTTAGCTTCTTTCTACCATTTTGAGCACTATATTAAAAAATGAAATGATGAACACTTTTAAAGTTATGCTGTAAATAAAAATTAGTGCCACCAGGGTTATTCAGCCAGAAAACGATGTTACTATTGATTTGGTACACACCATGAGCCAGGCACTGTGGAAAGTGCCTTCCTTACTTTTTCACTTAGCCCTGCTACTGACCTTGTGGGATCAGTGTGATAACTAGAGATGAAGACACTGAATCTTGAGGAAGTTAAGGCTGTAACTTTCTCAAAGTCATGTAACCAGCACAGAGTGAAGTCCAATGGGAACATAAGTCAGCCTGACTCCAATATCCACGTTCCAGGCAAGGGTGCTACTGTATTATGGTTGCTGAAGGGAGAGACGCACAGCATACGAAGGCTCCAGGACTGGGACTGCTTAAATTGAAGAAGGTATCCTTGAAAAGGGAGTGTTTTCTGGGAATCCCTTTCACTTTTTTGAAAAGGATTAGAATTTAATCCTTCTGGAATGGTTTAATTGTGGACCCCTGTGAAAAGATTGGGTTGACCTCTTGAGTCTTTATAGCCCCGTGATTTCATGCTAGTCAACATAGTATTATTAATACTAGGTATCACATGTATAGCTGTCTACTCCCATTTATTATCAAATCCCTGTGCAATCTGTGCTAGATAGATTGTTGTACTCAATTTATAAGTGATGAGAATGTGGCAGAAAGAGGTTAATTGAGTTGCCCAAGATTCCACTGGGAAACTGAGTGCAACCACCAATTGTTTGGAGCCCTACCTGGGTATTAAGTGTGTTGATTGATGTTATTTCCTGTCACTCATCTTGTGTCTCTGGAAACCTTTCTGCCTTCCCACAATCTGTTCCATTTTCCATTCTGCCCATGCGTTGTCTATGAAATCAGGCCTGGGAATGCTGTGAGGTTGCACTGGGCTCTCCTCACACATTCCCAGAAATACCCTGGCCTCTTTGCAGAACATTTAAAAAGGCTGGAGTCTGTGTGTGTGCACACCATTGAGAATTAATTTTATAGAAACTTTGATCTCAAGTGCTTTTTCTAGAAAGAAGAGAAAACTGTTTTCTGGAGCTCTCCCTCTCCCTTTCTCTGAGACTGCAGCACAGAGTGATTAGAATATTATTGCAGCTAATGAAAGTGAGAAGCAGATGCCTTATAGGAAGAAGCAATTTACTTAGAGCCTGAAATGGTGTCAGAGTTATTATAAAAGTTTCTATTCTGAGCTACAAGACAAACCCAGGAGTTATCTAGTGGAAGATGAAGCAAAAGTATATTTAAGAGCGTCGGCTAAAATCCAAGTCTGAGATTGAAGGATGAAAAAGTATCAATGAATAAACAGTGACCATAGAGAACACTGTTGATTGGTAGCTGAAGGGCAGTCTATCTGTATTCATTTCTTCTACACATGTTTATGGAGTGTCTCCTGGGCGCCAGGCATTGTCTAGGCACTGGGAGTATACTCAGGAATGAGTCAGATGAAATTCCTGCTCTCATGGAATTTATATTCTAGTGACAGAAACAGATGATAAAGAGATAAACGAATAACAACAGCAGCAACAAAAGCCATGGCACACACGTGGCTAGTGGTTTGTGCTGTGACGCCCACATGGGGTGACTGCGGAAATGGAGGGGTGAGCTGAGGTATGCTCCCAAGCAGAAGTGCTCTGGTGAGATGGGGACTGCCACCTGCATGGGTTCGTTGTGCATTTTTGGCCCATTCTCAAAAATGAACTTGGATACTTCAGATGGCGGAGCTTTGACATGATGCTTCTTTTTCATATGGCTCCTGTGTTTCCAACGTGTGGCTAGAATGGCTGGTACAAACAAGTGTCTGTTGCTAATTATAAGACTATTTGGAGGTACTTGGTAGTTGACCAAAATGATCCATGTCTATTAAATATTAACATTGAAGAGTCATTAAAAGAAGGATTTTAATAATTTTATCTAGAGTTGATCTCACCTGTTTAATTGATTGTTCACTATCATTAACATGTTCAAGTTAAAAAAAAAAAGACAACAAAACCGAAGAAACACCCATCAGCCCCCTTGCCCAAATATAACAAAATGAATTACAAAGTAATAAAAAAACCAAGTCCTCCAAAACAACATCTTTCTCATTCGTCATCCCCCACTAGTTTTCCATGCCTCTCTGAGTTCATGTGGGTCTGGATGAGGTCTCCAGGATAGAGCTGGGTGGGGGCTGCACAACTCCAGGGGCACCATATTCATGGTCATTAATCTGATTGGTGCCACCCAGGGGTCATTTAGTGCAGCCCTGTGCACACGGCAGCCTAGGGTGGGTGGACAAGCGAAGGGCCTGCAGCTCCCGTCAACAGGAGGTCTGTCTTCTCTCCTACTAATGTTCCTACCATCAGGGTAGGTTGCTCAACCATGTCTCAGATTCTCCTTCCACTCTCGTTGAGAATTTTTCTCTCTTTTAAAGGAAATTTATTTTGAAGACTAAGCACTTAGTTGAGGTCTCTAGAGCAGAGCTTCTTACAGGACTCTTCTGGGAATCTTGTTAAGATGGGGATTGAGATTCAGTAGGTCTGGGGTGGGCTCTGAGTGTCTGCATCTCTGACATGCTCCCTGCTGAGGGTGCTGCTCCTGGACCACAGTGAGTAAGGAAAGCCTTTGATGAAAGAAGGGTAAGCACATCACTTTATCAGTGGTATACTCCTTTCTAACTAAAGCAGTTCAGAAAAAAAATTCCAATTTTTATTTCTTCTTATTCATGCACTATATACATTACAGAAAGTTTAAAAAATACAGATAAGAAAAAAAACAAAAAAATATATTACTAAATTATCCAGGTTTAGCAGTAAAAATACAGAATTAGGAAATAAAAATTTTGTAAATAAAAAAATGAATTTTTTAGTATGTCCCAAATATTGCCCAATAGACTCTAAAATATTATTTTGTTGTTTACCTGAAATTCAAATTTAACTTGATAATCATTATTTTATCTGTAAATCCTATTTATAAGCCTTCTATCTTGAGACAATCTCTTGGCATAGATTCTTATAGTTATTTATATACACCACGCATACTATATGTATATGTATACTATATATATATAATGTATATATATATATATATATATCACTTTATAGTTTATCACTTTATAGTGTATAAATTACATACAACCAAGAATTTTACTGTGAGTTTAAATTTACCCCCATTTTATAGATGAAGAAAGTGAGGCTTAGAAGGAACCAACTAAAGAATAATTTAGCAATTTGGGGGGGTGGTTTCCTGGGATCTAATATAGGACATAATTGCTTAGGAAATATTTTCTTCTTTCCAAGCCTTGTTCTTTAGTTCACACTAGAGCTTCACAATTAAATTTCAGGCCCGGCCATCTCAATTAATGATGCAGTTCAATCACCATGCCAACAATTTGGCAGTGGTGATCAGGAAGGGATATGAACATGGTCAGGATGATTAATTTTGCCACATAATTGCCCCGATTCCATGGCAAATTAATGATGGATTCTTCCAATTCTCACACTGTTCAGCAAGAGGTTTGT